TTTTACTATTTAAAATTGCTTTCTATTTGAATAGATTTTCAAATGTAATTTATTCCTGTGATCATACATAGGTAAATTTTCAGCATCACTACTCCAGTCTTCAGTGTCATATGATCCTTCAGAAATCATTCTAATATGCTGATTTGCTGATTATCAATATTTAAAACAGTTGAGTACATTTTTTTTTTCAGGATTCTTTGATGAATAGAAAGATCCAAAGATCAGCATTTATCTGAAATAAAAAGCTTTTGTAACAATATACACTATTCCATTCAGCATAATTTTGATACATTTTTTGGGAAAGAAATTATAGAAATTAATAATTTTATTTAGCAAGGATGCTTAAAATTTATCAAAAGTGATGATAAAGGCATTTATAATGTTACAAAAGATTTCTATTTCAGATAAATAATGTTCATATCGATATCGGAATTATATCGTATCGACTGAAATTAAGAAATATATCGTGATATAAATTTTGGCCATATCGTCCAGCCCTACCTCAAATTTGGCCTTTCAGCATTTGTAGATGCAAAAACAGAAACCATTCAGTCCCTTTATGAAGCTGTTTTCATTGTGGACCCCCAAGTACATTTGTCTGGATGTTTTCAAATTATGTTCAAAAGAACAGAAACATTTTCTTCATGAGACATGCCTCACCCCTCTCTCTCTTATCTATCAGTCATTAACCAATATGGGCTCATTTTCCACATCTGCTGTGAGTTCACTGCTTTTGCATGTTGCACGTGTACATGTTTTGACCGAACAAGTGTAAGATAGAGAGATATCCTATCTCTCTTCAGTCTGTTCTAGTGTTGTCAAAAGACCCGGTATTTCGGTACCAAGTCGGTACTAAAAAAATGAAAACGTTACGGTACCAGATTTTTTTAAGTACCGGTGGTACAGAGTACCCGGTCAACCTGGTTCTTGATGCGCTATCCGAAAGCTTTATTACTTGTGGAAAAACTTGAAACAATTTTAAATAAGTATAAAGAATGGCATTGGTTTTGTACATTTAATTTTTGTTTAACGTTATTAATAAAAATGTTGTTCAATTAGCATGTTTTTGTGTTTTGCTTTGGTACCGAAATTGGTACCGAGAACCGTGGATTTTCACTGGTATTGGTACCGAATACTGAAATTTTCGTACCGTGACAACACTAGTCTGTTCTAGTGATTCTTTAACTGTCAAAGTGTGACAATCAGATCAAACCCTCTCAGTCAGTAAAACACAAAAAATGACATTTAAAAAAGGGCTAAAAATTCTTACAACAGAGAGAAATGAATCAAAGCTAGAGATAAAAGCTTGACTGAAAGATTAGTATCACTCTGGATCATGAAACGGTAAATTTATACACAAAAAAAAAAACAGTATTAGCATATTAAAACATATTAGCTATGATTTTAGTCAATCAATGACATAATGAATAATAATTTTAATAAGCCTTTTATTTGGCCATAACATTTCCCAAAGAGTGTGTCATCTGACTAGTTTCACAATACCTTCTTGTCTCGTGAATATGAGAGTGTTAAGACAATCCCACGGTTGCCAAGGGAACAATCTCTAGGGCAACGGCCACTCATCACCCCAACAGGGCGACCAGACGGATGAGGTCACCCTGAGGGTGACATTACTGCTTAAAGCAGACATGGAGCAGAACACCCATATGAAACACCAAATTTTCAGGACTGCTGAAAAATCAAGTCATCCAGACAGACACCTCGCCAACAGATGAAATCATTCTGCAAAATTACACCATTTGTTACTGTAACAAGACATCACCGATGGGATTTACCATGTCTGTACACGTGCATGATACATGCTTATAATGAATGGGGATTTTGGGGCAACATGAGACCCAAACAGATGGATGTAGTTAAACCAGGCCGCTCACAGTTTATTTGACTAGCCTCAGGTCACACAAACATGCTTATTATTCAAGCCATATGTGTGATCTTTCCTTTAAAAAGTAAAGACATATCAAATTGATCTGCATCCACGCACAAATACATACTACTGCTGGTAATTATCCGGCCCAGTAAAGAAACACCAGGGATTTTTTTTTTAAATGAACACACACTCACACAGATAACATCCACACACAAACACAGATAAACCAAGAATAACATACACACACACCCCATGAGGAACCTCAATGTTTCCTGGCCTTTACAAAAGCGGCAGTCTTCTTAAATCTGATTTTTATGTTGAATATGATACCAGTAAGGTGACATTTATTTTCATGCTATGACTGATAATAAAATTCTATTCTATTTTACCTAAATAAAATTAACCTGAAAACTAAAACTAATTGTTTTTAATGCTACAAGTGAATTTAGGCATCACAACATTATAATGTACAGTAGAGCCCGACCGATATGGGTTTTTAGCGCGCTCTGCTGGACAAACTAAGTAATTACACCATTTCAAGCATTTTATCGGCATTATATGTTCTGTAAAAAAAAAATGTTCATATCGGCGGCATATTCGCCGATACCGATATATCGGCGACAGGCTCATATCGGCCGATAATATCGGCAAAACGATATATCGGTCGGGCTCTAATGTACAGTACAAAAAATGGATATTCATTTAAGATTTGATTACTTCTAACTCCATTAGTAAATTATTTGTGTTTAAGATGAACATTAAGTGAGCGTTAGATAACAGCAGCGGTAATCTAAATCTAAAAATAGCAGAAATTAGCATGCATTATTAAAAGGGTGGTTGATCAGCTTTTTTCGAAGCCTTGATTGTTTTTATGCGGAGCAGTGTACCATGCTATGCGTTCATGCTTCATTAAAAAAACATTTCACATGTTTTACCTTTATTCTACACTGCTGTTTCCGCTCTCGTCAAAACGGTCTGATGAGTTCCTGGTTCTATGAAGCCCTTTCAAGCATTTTATCGGCATTATATGTTCTGTAAAAAAAAAATGTATTTCCCATAGAAATACGCAATCTTGCAGTAGTCCCTACCAGCCTTTTTTGTAGTCCTTAAACAGTGATTTCTTTAAAAGAAAATATCTAATTTTACATTGAACTTGGAGTGTTGTAACTTTGCAGATGTTGTTTATGCTCAAACAGCAACATTACAGACTAACTAAAGTTAAAAAAAGTGAAATCATAATCAACCACCCCTTTAAATATAACAGTGTGTAATATTGATATAGTTCAAACTTATCTTGTATCTCTAAAAATGACATCCTTCCATCGTCTATTAATAAATAAAAATATGAAGTTTTATGTTTCAGTTGTTTTAATTTGTCTTACCAGTATGGAGTGCATGCCCATGTATATGCGGCTCAAACACACCAGGACACACCAGCTGATGGCTAGAGAGAGACCCAGCAGCAGAGGATACTGTGAAAATACACACACACACACACACACACACACACACACACACACACACACACAGATTAGAATATGCTTCAGGTGATGAGATAGACAACTTCTGTAAAATTTCACAATGAAACTCATCAGTCGTGGCATAAATGTTAACCATTGATTACCTGTGTGCTTTTATAATAGTGCTTTCTGATTTATGTGTAGAATGAATTCAATGGTTAAAATTATTCACATTTTATCAACAACACAAATTGCACAGATGTAACTTAAAGTGAATTTTGAAACTGTTTGAACAAGCTAGTCCATCAATGTACATGAATTACCAGCAAAGGATTATATAGGACTGCTTTGCTTTTAACTTTTTGCACACACACGACTACAACAGATGGCAGAGGAGAAACAGCCTGTGTGAGAAAACATACACTGTCATCTCTCATAAGGAGCCAGAGGATACATTATCTGTCTCACTCTCTGTCATTTCCATGAGTTGTAGTACTATAGAGTAAACCAGATGTGTAGAAAGAACTCCGTAACACAGTATAACAGCTTACACACAGATGGTGTTCTAAAAAACAAGTAAGCACACATGCAGACGTGTGCAGAGACACACACACACACACACACACACACACACACACACACACACACACACATACATACATACACACCCAGTGTCGTCATGTTTGGCTGTGAGCCCAGTGTCACAGTGACACCACAGCTAATGCTAACCTGTTTCATGAAGCTGAAGGGTATCTGTTTTGGGTGTGTGTCCATATGTCTCAAGTGTCCATGGTAGTATCTATGAGCGATACCATTCTCATCATTGCCACTTGCATAATGCATTTGTCAACAGATGGACCCCTCCTGTGGTACAACGGCCGTTCAACCAACAAACACTGAAGTCAAACCCTCAGCACACCATAAAACAACCACTTAACTACAATTACTGTCCCACAAAGCAAAAGATGGTCAGGCAGATGAAAAGAGTGACCCAAAGCCAGAAGGAAACTGTAAAAAGAGCTGCCACACTTTTAACCAACTATGCTGGTTAACAAACATAACATTTAATCATAAACACTCTCTGTATTTCATCAGATAAGTTACATTTCATAATTATTTATAGCAGGATGTTTAGAATGAAAAAAAACCTAAATATTGTCCAATTTCACACATTTTTTTTTTGTCACAAAATAACTTCATGATACATTTTAAATAGAAAGTTCAAATGAACAGCATTTATTTGAAATGGAAACCTTTTGTAACATAAATGTCTTTTAATTGAATACATCATTGATAAATAAAAGTATTAATAAAAATGGTAGGGCAAGTATGCAAGTTTATGCATGCAGTATGCAAGGTTTGAGTTTCACGTGTACATGTGTTCTCAGGTTATTTAAAAACATTCATTTGTATCAAATTGCTAAAACTTGCATGAATGTTAAAAAGCAACACATTCCTAGTCATCGTTCATTCGGATTAAGCCGCCTGTCTGTGTCTTTGGCTGCCCACATCCTTCTCAAACAGATTACTGCAGAGTTTAAACACTCCAGCAGAGATTTATATGCACTAACGTCCATGTTTAAACATGTACAGCAGTGGATTTACAGTGAAACACCAGCTGCCAGGAAAATGACACAGCAAATAATATGCTGCTTTAACTCAGGGATTTCCATTCAGTGCAGTATAATAAAAGGGAAAAGGACATTTCCCTCCGTGCTGTTCCCTTCAGCTCAGTGAAACTGGGAACAAATATTTTTCAAAACATTTAACCTCTAACTTCTGCTTTGCCTTGCAAAAGACATCCCCTGAATGAAAGGGAAAAGGAGAACTAACACAAACAGTTAAATGTGTCTGTTATGTGGAAATCTCTACTGTGGCAGGAGCTCGGTTACACAGTTTTACAAGACTCCGGAGAGAGTTTTGATCACTTAAATGTGAATTATGTAAATTCGGTGCCACTACCATCACCAAATGGAATAGCAAAAACAATGACTATTATTGGTCGGCAAACAGAAAGTTCTGCCTCAAACTCATGGTATTGGTTGAGCTAATGCCACTGTGTTGGGATCAACACATAACATGGCTTCTGCCTACTGCAATGCAATTTAGCAAAAGATCAGAGGACACGATAAATAGAAGATAAGATCAGATCTCAATGTTGAATTTACATTTCAAACTTTAGTAACCCGAATTAACTATAAAACCATGGAGGAGAAGCCATATGTCTGACTAGATTGTCTCTGACAACAGAACAAATGCACCCGCTGTAGCACACACCTCTATGGTGTCATACAGTGTAACTGTGTCAAGTGATTCAGATGAACATCAGAAACACAACCATTAAAAAACCCAAGGATTCAAACATAGAGAGTTAGACCATGCTGGTTTTCCAGACCGCACCTCATGCCCTGAGACCACATGACACAGATGCAGGACCACAAGCTGAACCAACTCACAGAGATCTTTCTCTCCCTTTCATCTGAGCCTTAGCTAACCTCATATGCTAAACATCTGCCTCTGATTATAGACTATATGTGTGTGTGAGAGCTCTCTGCAGCTGTGTATGCTGGTGTGTGTGAGAGAGAAGGGTAGAGCTTTGATGGCTAAGATTGTATGTGTAAAAGTATATTGCATTAATAATGTGCCTGTAATCTCCATGACAACAGTATGAGGGAGTGTCAGCCAGTAAGAGACTGAGAACGTTTATTTTTATGTGCATGAGTGTGTTGCTTATCCTGCTGAAGCGTCTTCACACAAATTCAAATAACACACACACACTTACCCAAGAAACTGACTGAACCATACTGAAGGGCCAATGGTTAAAATATTCTTGAAATACTCACAGATATCACAAACTTGACTGAACATTGTTTTTTTGACTCTCATTTACATTTGGCAGAAGCTCTTATTTAAAGGGGTCATATGACGTTGCTAAAAAACGTCTCAGGTTACTTATGTAACCATGGTTCCCTGAGTAGGGAACGAGACACTGCGTCCTCTAGGGGTCGCTATGGGGAACGCCTCGTCGTGACCCGTGTCTGAAGCATACATTGAAAAAACACCAACTCGTTGGCCGGCGACAGCCATGACGTCACTACCGGTGCGACTATAGTATAAATAGGCGCCGGGAGCACACATCATTCACTTCTTCGTCTGAAGCTTGCGTCCGCAGCATGGCAAGAAACCTAGAGGA